CGCAAATTTCAATACGTATTTAAAGTTGTTGAGAGAAGTGCAAAAAAATACCATTTAACACTCAATCCCAACTATTATCAATTGGAAGAAAGTTTTGCGCGTGAAGAGAAACGTAAAATAGGTGAAGTGACAATGTATGAATGTCTTACATTCAGAAGGCACAGCAGTTTTCATCTTTCAATCATTTTTTCTGATCCAATCACGCAAATTTTTCGGTTGCGCAGATCAATCCTACAATTTAAAAAAAATTTATCATTTTAAGAATTAACAGTTGGAAAGAATTTTCTAGAAACATTTCTTTGTTTTAAAATTTGTCTTTTTTTCTTTTTATATCTTTTAAATTTACAAAGTTTGTACTTAAAGTAATTGCGTATTTCGCAGTAATACAGTAATATTTACTACAGCTAAACATGCGTCATCTTATCAGTAGTAAGATTGAATTAGTATTAATCATTTCAATGCTAATTATTGAAAATAAATTATGAAAAAATTGAGATATTTGAATTTTTAAGACAGACACACTCTTTAAAACTTTCAAAACTGGCAGGATTTTTTGTGAAAATATTTAATGACAATATATGAGATCGAAGCAGTCATCAAGTCAGATTATTCAAAAATTTTACACATGTCAAATCTTGTCTTCAGATTTGAACTTGACAGTGATCTTAACTATTATGTCGTTATAGAGATCATTCGAAGGTCAAGTAAAGATCACAAAAGTAATGCAACAAAGATATTCCAATAATTTTCTATCAAGTGAAAAAACACGCGCGTTAATTATGTGTGATTATGTAGTGATTAGTGTGGAAGCACTGTAGTAAAAAGACGTGAAATATAGTATGGACGTGAAATCATAATTGCTAAAAACTAGTTTATTTTAACTGACCACCGTCATTTTACTTGATATATTTCAGTATTTTCAGAGTAAGTCATTCTACGTCCGATTAGAATCAACATATGTACAGAAATTGCTTGAAATATTCATTTAAAAAAGCTTTCTCAAACTATTATATGCTTTTCTGCTAGCAATTTCTGCAAATAATTTTACTTATAATTAACAAAATTAAAATCACTAATTTCTAGTTTTCAGTGAATATCAGCACAATATCAAAATACTTTTACTGGAAAAATGATCGGTCATCGGAATTGAAAACTTCATTTGTTATTAATTACTACTGAGCATAAATCTGCGTTTTGAAGCTTAAAATTTCGTTCAATTTTCAGACTTTAATAGTTTTTTTTACTTCGACAAACAATTCAATTTTATTACTCAAATTTTAAAAAAACGTTAAAATGGTATGAACATTAATTTATGTAAAAATCGCTTAATTTCTGTATTTTTGAATTTAACAGGAACATTAATGAACATAAATTTTGTATTTTGATACTTGATATTAAGTAATAAGTTACTGTATTACGTTCAAACTTTCATAACTAAAATCATACTTGCATATTCTTATGTTTTATAAAATTAGCTACGCATACTACATGTAATTTATTGTTGAAATACAGTATATACTAGAATTAGAGGTAACAAAAAACTGAAAAAATTTAAATTATGAGAAGCTAAGGCCTCCAAATCTGGCTCGTCGATGAGCACATTATCAATCATGTGCATGAAGCCGTTTATTCCTGCAATTTCACCACCTTCTAGAATGCGCGCGACACGATGACCTCTGGGCCAGTAAAGCTCAAAAACTGCAAAATATAAAAATAGTGCATTAAAATTATATTTTTCTTTTACATTTTAATAACTTAAGTCATAATAATTCATGTGTTTACGTGAAAAAACAATTTATTGTTTAGATTTTATGCTTTTACGAAAGATATCAATGGTTGACAAGAAAAGAGATTTTAAATCTTTCAGCATTATTATCACGTACGCACGCTGTAGAAAGTAAAAATGCATTAATACAGCAGCACGAATATGTTGTTTAGCGGAATGTTTTCAAACTGATTTGTTATTATTGATGTTTCTGCTAAATTCGAAAATACAAAAATTGAGCTATTTTACATGAAGCTAATTTTCATACCATTTTCATGTTTTCTTTAAATCTGAGTAATAAAATTTAATTGTTTCTCAAAATAAAAAGACTATTAAAGTCTGCAAATTTCAGATACTCATCATTTTGAACTACGCAGTATTATGATGAATCAACTTTTTTTAGATTCGAAAAAATAAGTAAAACGAACAACGTCCTCTTCGGCGTATTACTACTTTCTCATTATTCATCATTACGTAAGTACGTTCACGTAGGTCAGTGTGCATTAATGCAAGACCTTGAATAATATGTCGTTTAAAGACATACTGTAAAGCTAACCAATGCATACCATCTGTCATTTTGTATTTCAACGAAGTTGGCACCTGTTAATTGACATTTTAAGATATAATTATTAAAAATCATTATCAATAATGAATCAAACAGTTATCAAAAATACTAACAACACACTGTACTCTTACGAATATTATTAACAATTAATCAAGCCACTAATAAATTACTATTAATTAATTAAGAAACAGAAATTTAAAATGATAGCTACATAAAAAATTTACTGACACTGCAAATAATCACTAAAAATCTAAAGTTAAAAAATAAAAATTATCAAGAATTTTATGTAAGATATTAAAGTTTTTATTTAGAGTTTAGTTCAATTAAATTTTAAATCGCGAAATAATATTCGCAAAGTAATTAATGAAGCAACCTTATTCCAGGCTTCATCAGTTGGGATGAAAAATGTAAAATTTTGTTGTGGTGTAAAGACTTGCCAAGGATCAAGTGAATATTTCAGCTGAATATTACGAAGCATCGAATAAGATGTTCTGAAAATTACTTATAAAAATTACAGGCATTTTTGATTAATGGAAAGATAACTGAAAAGTTGGATTATTCTTATATTGTATTCATACATCAAATTTTTTTAATTGCTCATTCTTGTAATAATTTTCAGTTTTTCAAACTTTTTTTAGAACTGTAAAAAAAGTGTCTAATTAATTTATCTGTTACTTTTAATTTTACAATTTTGTAGCAAACTTAATCTCTGTTTTGTCATTAAACAATGAATTCAAATACAATTATCGTTATTAACTGTAATTTTGAATGATTGCGTATAATTTCATATAGCGTTTGATACGGTACCCCAAGGACACGATCAATGTAATGTACAATACCATTAACTGCAGCGACATTATCTACCAAAATCGTTGCTCGAATACCACCACCAATAACACAGTAAGCTATAATAAGGAGTAATTTTTTGCCTAAACATATAATTAATTAATTATGATTTTAATTATTTAACACGTTTGAAGAGTGAAATTAACATAAATGAAATGTATGGGTCCGCCCGCAATAGTTGTCTGTATTATTATAACTTTAGATATTCTGTGAAAAATACTTATATAATTAGTTTCTATCAATAATGAGTTAAAATTACTAAACAATAAAAGCAAATAACTCACTAATATTATTTCTAGGCCACTCTCCGCGCGCAAAATACAGTTGGCGAATACTGTCAACGGAGTTTACAACAGTCTCATTAGTGATCTCATTGCTAGTCAATTCTTTGTTGACAACAATGTGAAGCCTAAGAATCTACAAAAAACTTTGGCAAATTAATATTTTTTAAACTTGCAATGTGCATAAATATTGTAAACTTTTTATTACATAAATTGTTTTAACAAATTGTATAATACGTGAATATTCAAATCTGTTATAAAATAATAATAATTGAGGACTAATTTTATCAAAATTGCTATCTTTTTAAATATCCGAAAAATAGTAAAGCGAATATAATTTTTAATTAGTGTAATAGAGTGGTACATTACTTTTTACATGGTGCGAGATATTATTACTTACATCACCAAAGTTTGAGCTACAATTTTCATTTAGTATATTTATTTTTTAAAACAAAATAAGAAAAAAAAAGACTTTTCAACGTATTTTTACAAATATAACAAGTGATATAAGTAAATGATCCTATATTGCAGATTAAATCAGAAAATTACTCTTTCAAGCCAAGTTCGATCTCTCAAAAGTCTTCTTTCAATATATTCGGGAATTCGTTCAAATGCTTCATTGTACGGTGCAAAAAATGTTACCATTGTACCAGTTGCCGAAATATAACTGCGAACTGTTTGTCCAATATTATTGATATACCGTATTAAAGTTGTACATTGATTATTTTCCCTAATAAGCTGAAGAAAGTTTTAACAATTTTAGCACTTTTTAAAAAAGATTCAAAATACACACAATTTGAAATTTGCGTAAGTTTTTGCAATCCGAAAAATGTTGATTTTTGAAAGGTTTCTTTCATTTATTTTTAATTTCTTTGAGAGTCTCATTATTATACTACATCTGACTACTAAGGTTTATTTTAAAAAAAGGAACAAACGAAAACAAACACGATTTTTTGCGTCAAATGATTTGAAAACACAAAGTATTGAATAAAATAAATAGCTGTTTGAAAAAGTTTTTAAAAAACTTTGAATTTTGATAATTAACTTTAGTTTGATTTTACTATTTCACGTATTAATAAATTCTAAAATTTATATCAAAAATAATTAAATTTTGATTTCTATACAATACAACAAGATAGCAAAATATATAATTTTTTATCATGAATTTGTTGTCTTGCATAATTTAATAAGGACTGTACAAGTGATTAGTCTAATTTGAATACGAAATTTTTTAGGTAATTTTTAAAAAATATGACAGTGCACATACTATTTCTTTAAAATCAGAACTAAATTAATAAAAATAAACCTGATCAATAGTATTAGTGACAATACCAAGAACATTATCAATTATGTGCACTACACCATTTTGAACTGGAATATTTGGTACCACAATTTTAGCCCAAACTGCACCACGACGAAATTGTCCATAACGTTCATAAATTTCCGAGACCACATAAACTATTTTAAACTGAATTAATTAAAAAAAAATCGTTTCAGAATAACATTAATTGCTTTATTTTAAAAAGATTTGCTTTGAATTACTATTTGAATGATAAAAATTAATATTAAATAGCTTTATCAAATATTACTTAACTAAAAGAAGAGCTTAAATATAAAACGAAATAAAAGTTTATTATTATTTCAGTTTTACTTTAATAACTTAAATGGAAAATAACATACGATCCCATCGACCTGTTCTACGATCCGTAATATTTCGCATGCATAATTTTAATTGGTGATTATCTTCAATAACATTAGCTGCAAAACGTATTGACGGGTAATAGTGCATACCACCATCGTAAAGCCATGGATACGTAAAAAGTACACGGTTTACGCCTGTTACGTGAGCTAATAGAACCTCACGGTCTAAGCGGTTTCGGTCATTAACCTTAAGATTATAAATTAAGGAAGATATTAGTTGATGATATGTAATGGCAAAAGTATACGTCTCTCATCACACAACTGCTCTATTTATTCGCATCTAGCATAAGCAGAAACACAAAGTTATTACTTTAGTATTTCCATAATTCGAATGTAATCAATTTTTCATTTTTGAATTGTATTTTAAAGCTTTGCACATATCATTTTAATTAA